ACCTAGGACCGGTAAGCGCGCCCCGGACCGCGCCAGACGTGTCGGGGCCGGCTGGGACCGCGTAGGCCGCGAGCCGTTCTCGCCCGGCGGGCTGCCCGACGCGACGACGACGACGCCTGTGATGGCGGCCTGCGTCCCCATCGCCTCCATGCCTCCTGCTTGAGCGCGTTCTCAAAAGGGGCTCACCACGCCGCCCCCGCCCCGAAGACCGCGTGGAAGACCTGTCGGTGCAGCGCAAGCCGCCGCCCCCGCTCGCGCCGCAGCCCCAGCAGCAGCAGCCGCCGCCACCGCCATCGCAAGCGCCGCCGCCGCCGCAGCAGCCTTCGCCGCCGCCGCCGCCGCCCGCCCAGCCGCCGGTGGCGGCGTGCAACAGCCTGCGCGTCATCGTGCCCACGCCCGCCCACGCGGCCAGCGAGGAGCGCAGGCGCGCCGAAGACTCGCCAGAACGCGTTGCTGCCGCCGCCGCTGGTGGCGCTGACCGCGACTGAGCCCTCCGCTCGCCACCGCACGCCCCTTTTTGTTATATTTACAGTTTACACATTCTATTGATATTACATTTTAAAACTGTTTATGCATTTATAAATCCAGTGCAATATTATTTATGTTGGCTCATGTAAGAATTTTACAAGGATCCGAAAGTACCGCCGAGCTTGGGGAACCTCCGCCATTATGAAATAATTGCCAATCATTCATCGCGAGTTTCAGACAACCGGCGTCAGTTTCTTTCCGCTAGTTATTTGAACACAGTATTTTAAAGGGCATTGTTTGTTAAGAGACATGGAGGTCTTATTATACTATAAGTTTAGAATCATAGATCAACTTAGAGAAATAATATATTTTTGAAGATAATGGAGTTTCTTCTACAGTGTAGGATGTAATGCATGTTGAGCAATTTTAATTTACAGCTAATACTATTCTCTTTCCCTGTCATTTCTGTTCATGAGTGTCAAATGAACTGAAAGGAGGGTGCAAATTGATGGGAACAGGGTGAAAATTGGCAATTTTCTACAGAGAGGGACATTGAGAAAGCCAAGAGGGGCTGAATCAAAGAGTTAATGAGTGAAGACCATCTTTGCTAATGCAACAGTCTGAATGTATCCTAAGAATACTCTCAGGAATGTTTTCTTGTCTAATTTTCTTGATTTGAATTTGAGGTATGTAAATAATAGGCACCTATTTGAATTAACTGTATCCCTGGTAAGAAGAAATTAATACTTTTCCAGCAAGGGGTATCAAACCCTCCAGGAGGAGATAAACTCTGTCAGTCGATTCTGTCAAATCATAGCCTGCACGGGAAGGATGTGGGGATCGTCCTTTTCTATGGAGTTTGATGTCCTCTGCTGAAAAAAATTATATTTCCCTAGCCAAAGATTCAATTGATACTCAAGTCATGTCTTGTTTATTAATTACACACAAATCAAGGAAATTGAACAAGAAAACATTCCCAAGAGCTTTCTAAGAATCCTTTTTGAATGTTGAATAAGTGAACAAGTTCTTTGATTCGCTTGTCAATTCTCTAATTCATTCCTTTCTGGTGTAATGAATGTTCACCTCTGGAGAAAATTGTGAATTCACACCCTGCTCTGAACATCTAATTTTATTTCAATTTTTAAAAATAGTATAGATGTAACAATCTGGTAAATGAGTGGTATTTAACCTTCTTTTATGTCAGTGGTGGATCCTACATTATTTGGCAAAGTAAGAATTTTTTTTATAATTTTACTCAACTTATTTAAAACAATTGCTGCACAAGAGGGATGAAAAAGACCAGTGGATTGAGTTTATTAAACACTCAGTAATCAAAAGTAATAGTCATTTATTTTCATTTGTTTTTTTGACTAGAAAGCATTAGAGAAAATATATGTATTACCTTTGAACTTAAGTTCTACTGGTCTTTTTCATCTCTCCTGTGTATACTTTTTTGGATCAGTCAGCAGCCACATCAAATTGCATTACCTCATATTGATAGCATCACATCAAGCTAACACTAAAAAAAATATTATTTTAAATATTTTTGGGGTGTTCTGAACTGAAACAAAAAACAAACTTCAAAATACATTCTAGATCTCTGATTTGTGTACTCTTAAGATGAATAACACCAATTTAAAATTTTTGTAAATGATAAATAATACTACAGGTAAATGTAATGACTTTAAAAGAGAGACTAGAATACCAAAATATTACATTTGACAATATTTGGAGATTTTATCAATTTGGAATGTTGTTTGAGAATTGTAGAGCATAAATGAAACTCGGGCAAAGTACCAAAATGTGAAAATTTTCATTTTGTGCTGAAAAACGTGGTAAGTGTCAAACACAATGTGGTGTAAAATGGGCTACATGTAATTCTCATTCTTAAGAGTTCAAATTGTCACCACTACACTGTGCATCAGTCAAATCCCGCAAGCTTTTGAAACAGTTTTTCTTAATTATCTCGGAATTCCATTTTTGGCACTTAGCATGGTTTTCACATACTGTCTACAATTATCAGTATTTTACATGTTGGTGTGAAATTTATTCTAAGGGTACACTAATGAAAGAGGTTAAGTACCATGTTAGTACATCAAACGTATAACTCACCATTATTTGCAATAACAAGGGCATTTGTATAGTTAGTTGGTGAAACATATTTTTTCTAGACATTTAAAGCAATAAGGTTTCCTAATGGGCATTATTTACCACATAGACATATCAAAGAAGGGGCTTATTTCTTTCTTTGACCATTGGCTTCGTGCAATGGTTAAACTGATTGAAACAGAATGTGTGCACTTAGTCTGTTGCTTCCTGCTGAACAGACCTGGCCAATCTACCTCTTTTGCTGTGATCTTTCTGACCCTAGTGATATGTTCTGTGTGAGCAGCAGGCAATCTCAGAAATAATTATTTTATAATTTTCCTTTTTAGAATATAACATGTATATATCTATCAATGCTGTGTTTAAATGACTAGTGGCACTCCTGTTAAACAGTTCACTACATTATGTGACACTTTACAAACTAGTTCATTCATGGAGGTTTCCCCAACAGATCTGTTATAGTTGTGTGTTGTAGTACACACTTTTTAAATACTGTTAACAGTTGTTTCTTGAATTATATTTTACAGTTAAGATTGAAATTTGAAAATTCCAGTGCCCTAGATTAGAGTTGGGAATACTTGAGTTAACTCTTTATATGATCATTTGGAAGCAGACTTGCTCTTTTGCTTGATGCTTTTGGGTAGTAATCGTACACTCTCCCATTATGAGCAAATGCCATAGGTAATTTGTTACAGCTTGATAAAACTGTGATGTGCACACACAACTGTTCATTCATATTCACTCAGTGTGCCCACATGCTTTGCTTATTGTTATGAAATGTTCTTGCACATGCAAAATTTGTGGCATGCATTTTCCTACATTGTGTGCATAATGCTTTAATAGATTGTGTGTGAGCAGTATTGAGTGGACTATTGCAAGACATGTGAGCAGAATGTCAACTTTGTGCTGTGCTATGCTGTGTACATAAAGCCATGTTGGTGGAAGTGAAGTCTGATGAAGAACTGTTGGTCATGTATCCACTCTATGAGCTCTGTGTGTTTCCATCACTGAATTCAGGCTGTCATGCTGAGTTACAACGCATGAGAATAAAGACAAAATGCCTTTGCAAGACCATGTGTAATCATCTGCCACAAATTGACCATGTGTTGAGCTGCAAGGGAGCTTCGCTCAACCCTGTGGCATCAAAGCAAGGAGCAAGTCTCCTAGCCGCAGAGCACTTTAGTGCGACTGCACATGCACCCAGTGTGTTGCACTGTCAAAAAGTGTTCTTTGTACTACATATATTTATATATTCGAAACATACCAATTGCCTTGCTGTCATATATTCAGGTTGGAGTATTTTAGCTTAAGGAGGGACCACAAGTATCAAAGACTTTTTCTCATTCATTGTAACTTTTTAATCAACCGTGCACCTTGAAGAAGGTGTCAATTGTATAAGACTGACCAAGCACATAGCTGTGTTGTTCACTCTGCACTTAGTTTGTAGTCATGCTGGTGTTGCCAGCTAATATGAGACTGACTTCTTCTAAGTTTCTCATCTTTGGTTGCTTCTTAAAGGCAGAGCCCACAGACAAGGTCTGGGGTCTTTGGGGTGTGATGGCATGGAGGTCTTGGAAAGACCCATATGTCATGGACAGATATATTGGCAGAGTTCAGTTAGTCTTGCCTTTCACACCTCAACTGTCTGAAGTGAACATTTCTATGCTGAATCACAAACCATATTTTATTTTATTATTGTTTACTGTTACTTTTTTAATTTCCAGTTTATAAAAATAACATAATAGTGGTTTTGGGATGACTCTTTTTTATCAGAGGTAGAAATGTTTTGTTTTTAATGTAGTTTTGTAACTGTATAAAGATTATAAAATGTGTAAAAGGGAGAAAGGTAGGGAAGGGTTACGGGTCCATAAATGGATCACTAACTACTTTGCTGTTTGGGGGTTGGTTTTCATTGCGATATAGTGTGGCTTATCTTTCATATACATTTGGCGTTGTTTGTTGTAGAGTAATGATAGTGAAATTGTGTGTTTTCTCAACACGTACCACTAGATGAAGGAGTACTGCACAGATTTCTCCTACTGCTTCACCTCACAGACTGAGACCCAATGGCAGTTGAACCAGTTTGTCCACAGAGCTAAAGTCATTGTAACGTTTTATGTGAGACATCCCCCTCTGCAATCACTGCTGAATATCACAGTGATTGTGATCATTGTTGATCTTTCAGAGAAGAGTTTAAATTGAAATTTAATTTAATTTTTTATGATTTATATAAGTATACATTTACTAAAGTATGAGTACATTTTTTGAGTATTGTCTTACTCAAGAAAGAAATTTATTATCCCTTTACAATGAAGATTAACCTGAGAAATCTGTTAATGAATTGATTTGAGTGTCTGGCATGATCAACTTTATGGTGAAGGAAAACATTATGGGTAGTATATCAGAATTATTGTATCTTTGCAGTCATATTGTGTAGAGCAGTGAAAGTCAAGCAGAGATTGAAGGGGTACATCAAGTCATGGTTACATTGATAATTGATATCCTTAGTTCTGGACTGGTAACTTTCACTGTGTTTCTTTGTTGATTTTTTGTATCATTTTGTTTGTTCAACTGCTGTGATTTTTCTAGACTGAGTGCTAGCGGGGAGGGTGGAAGTAGGGAACCCTGCAGCACAGCAAATGTGCACATTAACACGTCCTACCGTGGAAAAAGCAAGAGTTCACAGACTGATAGAAGCTAATCCTGCAGCATTTGGGGAACATTAAGGCTGTCATTTGGTTCTTAGTGACAGCCTTGATGGAGCTCCTGCTGCCAAGTCTAGTCAGTGAAAGAATTTTCATTGCAACACAGTACTATACCTCACATCAGCTTTCATCTGATGGGTCGAATACAACGCTATGGTATTTATTATTTCAACTGCAGAAAGCCCCAAGTCTTGTTAAATATATTAATATATACGGGAAAGAAGCTACATTGTGCCACACCCAAGTTACTGTTTCTGTTAATACATATTATTTTTTAAATAATACGGTAGTAAAATGCAATGATTATTATATTAACTAGATATCAGAACTCAATATATATGATGTTTTAATTATTATAATTATGTACAAATTCTACTTATTTAATCATTTAATAACTTTAGAATATTATTTTGTTCTTAGAGAAATAATCACTCTTAGAGGAAGTGATTCAATAAGACTGAGCTCTACATGTAGTTTATTAGTTCTTGTTTTTTTGTAGACTGATGATGGTGGGATTGTAACGTAGGAGGTACTGGAGGGAGCTGGCCCAAACCCCAAGGGAAGGCCTTGGCTATAGAGCTCGGTCTTTGTGCTGGGTGTCTGTGGCCCTTCACAAGGACGGCCCATGTTGCCACCATGGCACAGAGCAATCCAGATGTCGACTGACAGCCCTGGCTGGGGTGTAGGTGGCAAGCGTGCTTGAGTACACACTTACTACATTTTGTTTATCACTCTGAAGTGTTTAGTTTTTGAATTTTTATATTCCATTCTTGACTTCCCTTAATGTAAAGGCTTTTAATGTGAGTTACTTATAACTCTGCACATACCAAGATAATTTATTAAGATACCAAGAGTGAACTTGGAAAAATAATTGTGTATTACCCTTAAATTAAGCTGATTATTGTAATAGTCATTTAACAGATAATACAAACTGTCAAAGAGAAATCTCTTCATGAATGTTTCAATAGAAATAAAACATTTTATACAAAATTTGTGTTCAAAGATATTCAGTTTGTATGTTATTAGTTCATGAAAATTATATTTTATTTCACTGAGTTCCTTACAAATGAGAGCTGATGAAATAAATCTTTACCATCCACCTCACTGGCTGTAGAATCATACAATTGATGTCATTTCAGTGCATTGTGTTACACTTGTGTATGAGCAGAGTTGCTGTGTTCACTCCTGGCACGTGAGTGCACTAGCACGCAGTCCCCACCTCGCACAGCTGGGCACTTACTATATTATATTACCAGATTTTTTGTGACATTGTGAGTGTTAAAGTTTTCAAAGAGTTTAGTTATCATTTGTTAGAGATATTGCATAATCATGTGCCTTGAACTACAACTAGGTAACATTTCTTTTTTCTACTGTGAAATTATTTATGGACATTCCATTAAGAATTATGTTCTTCTTAGTTGCTGAAAAATGACACATTGAATTTTTGAGTATTGGAAGAAAATATATTTTGAAAGAAACATGAATCTTGATGAAAAATGCATTATACTGCATGGTGTATATGGAATGTCGAAATGCAGAGGATTGTTCTAATATTGTAACTGGACCTTAAGTATCTGACAGTATAATCTTAATTTGAACTGTTTGAGCATAAAATTTATTTTCAAAATTAGATTTCCAAAATCTTATCCCATCCTTTGATTCCTTTAGTGTACAACAAGAAAAGAGTCCAGATAACATAGGATTTTAATCTGGTAATTTCTCATGTTATTGTCATTCACCTTTTTATTGTTACTTAAAATATTTTTAGTGAATACATTTATGCTATGTATTTCTACCATGAGAACGGTGTTTATAATGGAGATGGACTGTCAGATTTTGGTCCAGAGAACAATAGCCAATTAAAAAGGCCTTGTTAGATTTGAATCAAGACCTAAAGAAAATATGACTCCCAGGCAGGTGTGCCTTAGGTTTTCATTCATATGTGTGCTGTTTTTCCTACTAACTGATTCTCCACACCTTGCTACTGAAATTGGTTCATACTGAAAGACAAATTAATTTTTTTAATGGAGATAATCAAAGAAACTAATTTTGTGTATCTGTAAGAAAACCATTTTGAAAACATATTTTACCTCTTAGCATGAACAGATTATTTTAAGATGCTGTGTGAATTGAATAGGTTTGCAGTAGCATTGGAACAGTAATTAAAAATGTTGAGTGGCATTGTGCTTCAGGTGTTATTACACATGACAGACAAAAGTGGAATCTGATCAAATCTAATCTTACTGTATTCTCAGATGCAGTAATTATCTCTTGGTTGTATATGAACTGGATATTTAATGTTATTGGCATAAGATACTCAACTACAAAATTGACTCATTTGAGTTCAGTCACATATATCTACCTCAGGACACCATATTGCGCAATTCATGCCTACCGATTGCTGGGTGATAACTGACACAGCAGATTTTGTACATAGAAATATAGGATAAAATAAACATTTTTATACCAGTACACTATTTACATATTATCCATATATAGTATAAATATATAGAAATGTTGCATAGTGTTTGTTATACTGTGGAGACTTTCTCAAAGCACAACTGAAATGAGTGATAAAAACAGTTTCATCACATGCAATGGGTTCCTAAAATGGCCTTAAAGTAAAATTCAGATTTCATTTTGTATGTTGCTCTAAACTAGATGTGAAAGATTTGCTATTTACAAACTTGTATTGGTGGATAACCAGGACCAGAGGTCTGGCTGTATGCTGCAAGCACTTTTAGAATAAGACTCAATTACCGGTATTTCTCTGTGCTGTGGTAGGAGGACCATTTAGGCTTTCCTGGCATTTTTGATGTCTTTTAGCAGTGTGTGCCTTGCAGGTTGGAGATAGTTTTGTAACTTATTTTGTGAATTGTGCAATTTAATTTGGAATTTTTAATGAGCATAGGTGTAAGATTCCTGTCACTTGTAATGTAATCTGCTGCACTACTGCTTACAACTGCTACAAGAAAACTCCAGTGCCTTTGTGTGGTAATCTGAGACCAGCTTTGTTATTAAATTTTATTAATTTTTATATTGAAAGATAAGAGTAAGGTTTTATCTTTCGTGAAAATAAATTAGAAAATTTGTTTACATTTTGCTGCTCCTATTTTGTTATTCATTACTTTGAGTGATGAAGATGAAATAATAATACATATTCTCAAAGACTTTGCACACTGCTTAAGTGATCATTGACTGGGCCTACATGTGTCCTCTGTCAAGCACAGGTGCTCTTTGATTTGTAATAGATATTCCATGTGTGCAAATTTCATTGCTTGTGTTTAACATGTTGGCAACAGGGTGCAACAAAGACTTGAAATTTTTGTGCTGAAAGCTGGCTTCTGAGCTGGTACAGTTCGTTCTGTGAGTAGTTCAGATCAGTTTTGTTATGTGGCTTTAAATTAGAAACTGTGTTTCACCTTGTTCTATAAATAAATTCAGTGATGTTTTACAGTCAAACTGATATGATCCATTGGAGGGAATTATGGAAACTTGCTTTTTCATAATTTTTATCCATGGGTAAAGGCTGATTTAATTTTATTACTATTATAAAATAATTATTAAGACTTTATATCTTATATAATGTTTTGTAGGTCAATAAATCTTGCACTGCACATTGTACTACAAAAATGTAATTAATTCTTTTATTGTAGTGAAGATAAATCACTTCATCTTATTCCAACCTTTCCTTCCTTAGTCCCCTATTAATCATTTCTTTTAGATTGTAATTTTCATGAATGAAATACTTCTTGATTTGATGAGGGAGAGGTAATAACATAGAAAATAGAGAAATTGGAGGTTTACAACATAAAGTAGGTGCTTTAGTAAATACAAAAATACTTTCATCCACATATTTCAAATGAATTAACATATCAGATTCATATACATTTTACATCATGAAATAATGTTTTTTAAAAAAAAACTTATACAATTAAAGTGTCTTTTCTTTATACCTATGAAATTAGCAACAACTTGCAATATTACTTTATTAAGATTCATGTCGATAGTTTGTCCATAAATTATATAATGTTAAAGAAGGGAGGAAGGGGTTTGAGGCAATATTACTCTGCATTACATAGGGGTGGGTGTTTGGGTGTTATACTAGTTTAGGATTACGTAATGGTGATATTTATTTTGAAGTTTTTCAACATTTGTTGAAATAATTTCTTTTGTTCAGTCTTATAAATATAAAAATATTTTTTCATCAATTGCTTTCCCAGCATTTTGGATGTCGTTTAGCAGTATGTGCCTTGCAGGTTGGAAATAGTTTTGTAACTTAATTTGTGATTTATCCAATTTAATTTGGTAGTTTTATGAATTCCTGAGCACAGATTGAATTTATTACATTGTGAAGAACATATTCAAAAGTGATGTATAGTATATTCTAGAATCAAATTAATTTGGCACAGTAGACTTGGAGCCCATGCTTCATCCATGACAGTGGGTGCAAGTCTTGTCAAAAATTGTCTCACATATGTGCTCTTTCTTTATTAAAAAATTGTGTCCAATCCTATTGTTAGGTTTGTGCAAGCCTGCATCACTAAAGAATTTTGATTTTATTATCATTAATTTTAATATATAACACAAGTAAAATTAATGCATATTGTTGTTACTGCTGTACAGTTTATTTTTACTCATTGTAAATGGGGGTCTTGTCCCAAGCAGTACATAATTACTCAGGGGGATTCAAGTGTTCATTGTGAGTGCATTACAGGGGGCAAAGAAGGTATTGCAAATAATCCAAATTTTTGTTATGTAATTTATGGTCGGCCACTAACCTAAATCGTGAACTTATCAAATCATTACCTTTTCAATATTAGGTTCGACTGAATTGTATCAATGGTCTCATCATACTGGGGTTTTGTTTTTGGTTCCTTTGAACCAAACGAAATGCTGAGATTGGCCCTTTCTGCATCCCTAACTTTTCTTTTATTACCCTTAAAAAAGTGAGACTGAATAAATTTTAACCTAGGAGTGTGTTGGGCAGATATTAGATGCAGTGTAAAAGGTACTGTTTTTGATATAAATAAATAAACACTATTGCAATTGCCAGACCATAAAATAACTATTTAGAATTTATTATTGTATTTTTAAACTGAAATATTGAATTTCATGAACAATGTTTTATTTTCTTTAAGCAAATTTTTTTGTTTGAATTTGGAAGGTTTGAACAAATATGTTTTATGCATTTGGGATTTAAAAAAAGGGAAATTGAATTTTGGTTTCAAGTATGATAGTTTTGGAGAAGAATCTTCTTTCTATGATCATTTTCTCTGATTCATTCTTTTGTAATTTCCATTGTTTTTGGTAATAAGCAATTATTTATGTGAAAACCATATCTCACAGTCAGTTCTTGTTAGTTCCTCTATTAACCTGCTTTGTTTGGCATAATATATCCTCTCCACTTCCCCCAAACTTTGAATTACATTTATTTGCCATTATGTATTGTTAAAAAATACAATAATTAATATTTTGAATTGTTATTTTATGGACTAGCATTTGCCATAGTTTTTATTTATTTATAGCCTCACTTATTTAGGGGTGATAAGAGAATCATGAAGTATCTACAAGCAGATAAGCATATATGCTCCTTAAAACTCGCTCAATCCACTAAGTTTTTTTTCTTTTTCTTTTGGTGGTGTCTCTAGAAGGGACATTTTCCTTCATTGTTGCTAATGCTTTTTTAATTACTCATTCACTAAATTTTGAACATTTTTTGCAATAACTTCAACTTTAAAACATTTATTCACCTCCTTCCTTTTCTCATGAGCCATTAAAAGAGAATTCCACATATCTCAATTCTTTGCCATTGTTGTTAGTTAAAGAGTTCTTGTTGGAAATTTAGAGCAGTGTACAAATCTTCAATAACTTGCACACACTGGGTAATGTTATGGGTCTGTCATGGGGCATGAAACACTTTATGCACATCGATCACACATATTTACATAGCAGTTACTCAGACTGAGTTTGGATGGAGGTTGCTAGGAGAGTCTTGGTTGAGTGACTGATGCATCAATTATGGCTGATTGATGGAATTGTATCGTCCAAGGGATTTACTCCTATTGGCTCACATGTTAGGCTTCTCATTTTTGTTAAAGGATCGTTTTTGCCAACCATATCTTCACCTAAAAAATCTTATAACATTGAAACCAGGTGTGAATAACTGCAGTATTCAGCTGTAGAGTAGCAAAACTGATTTATTATCAATGTGTAACTTAATTTGGACTTCAGAACATTGATTGTTCAAGGAACCAGAAATTTGACCATCATCAACAAAGAAAAAAATAACATTTTTCTTATAAAAAAATAAGGTTGGCTGTAACTTCTGTAAATTTAAAAATATTTTTGGGGGGATCTCAATTCACATCCAAAATTGAAGAAACTGTGAGCTTTAAACTCCTGAAGTTTGTTAATATTTTTGGTCATCTTTGCTCATCCATCAAACCTCCAATATTTCTAATTGACAGTTTAAGATTAATGGCTCTCAGATAGAATGTTAGGCACATTATTTTCTGTTTTTCTTGTATTTCCATTACATTCCATTTTTTTGTAATAGATATAATGCAAGAATTTTGAATTTGGGAAGGCATTTTTTGTTTTTTTCCCCTCTTTTTTTAATGACACAAATTACTATATAAAAATCACTGATCCTATATCAAAAGTAATTTACAAAACAAAATAGCATTAGTTACTCATTAGTTAGTTAACATGTACATACAATAAACAGTGTGGTCCATTGTTTTTGGTGAAAGGAAAGATAATTACCATTCTCATCTTCATCATCATTATCATCATCATCCAGTTTCAAAATAGTACATGTTACATGCAAGTAGTTAATTTCATCCATTTATGATTAATAATACTTTCACCATTAAGAATGAAGCTTAAAAAATGTAATCAGAACTGTGTCAAAAAAACAAACAAACAACAACATGGAATATATACTTGTATCACACTTTGACTTCAAATTATTTTTTTTTAACTAAAATATTCTTCTTACATGTGTGAATATCAGTGCTATATAATTGAAATGATTATTCATTTATTTATTTTTATTTATTTATCATCAAAAACTGTAAAAAATTGTGTGACAAACTACAAGAGGAAGTGTTTTCTGTGCATGTTTTCTTAAATTTTGCGATCCTTACTTTAACCTACATACAAGTTGACTTATGAATACAGATAGAAACAAGTGATTTTGGCAAGAATTGATAAGAAAATATTTGTTTCCATTATAAAAGCTATTTGCAAATACAAATCAGCTATAGACTTTGGCTCTTATCTCTCATTGTGCCCTTTGTGAAGGAATTAACTTACTGCGCCATGAACATGCTAATTTGAATAACTATATTACCCACTGAACTCTAGAAAGTGGGAAAGTATAGGTAATGAAGTTACATTTGTGTCCAGAAGCAATACAATGGAGCATCTCAGCATTTGCTCAAAGAAACTGGGTGAAAACTAAATGATTGAGATGGGGGTCACTGACCCGGAGGCTGGGATGGAAAATTGATTTCCTGAAAGTGATAAAAAATATGCATAGTAAATAATAAGTGCTAAGTGAATGCTAGTCATCAATGAAGGTTTATGAACATGGTCAATGTATGCATAAATTTAACACTTTTGACACAAGGGAAAATTTAAAATAAAAAATGTAAGGATGTAAAACATTAACAAAACCAAAGATAAGATATGATTAAGTTACACTTAATTTTATGAAACAAATACGGGATAAATACACATAAATATGGGAGGTTTTTATCTATTGATGATTTCAGGAAAGTTAAAATAAATATGAAAAGAGTTAAATGTGTGTAGTAATATGTGTAGATACTTTCTATTTTTTGCCATGCCTTTGGAAAATCTTTAAATTCCAACATTTTGGACATTGCAATATTATTTCAAAGTGATCTAAAAGTCTTGAACATAAATGAAATTTATAGACACTAGCTTCCCGCCAATTACTCGAGCAGTGTTGACAGCTCGCGCTACCTATGTGAGAAAATTTCAACGAAACCGTTTGGAACAAGGCTTTTTCGTGATGTATATCATTGATAGATGGCAGTATAGAATCCAAGCAAAAATGAACCGCGAAATTTAATTCAAATTGTAATATTTTTATGTGTATCACATAGCAATGTAAACTAAATGTTTAAACCAATAAAATTTATGTTCATTCATTCATGAAATCGGCGTTCTTAATAATGGCGATTTCTTATTCCCGATGATTTCTTATCATAAACTATCTTTCGTTCTGTTTCTTATTGAAAATATTATTTATTCATTAGATTTTATTTATGTTTTCAAGTCCTACCAGTAATTTGATCTAACAGTCTTACGCAGTCTTTACCAAAACTACGTGGATTGAATTGGAGGACGATTCCAAAATATTTATTTCCATTCCTTTCACAAAATAAATTCTAAAATACATTAAAAATTCATTATTATTATCCACCTCTCCATATGATGATAGGAATAGGAAAAATTTTCAAAACTGTGTTGTACTCGTTCTTAACCAATTCATGTATTTCTTTCCAAGCATAAGAATTGATTTGAATGCGAACGAACTATCATAAGAAATGTTCCGTGAAAC